TTCACCAAAACGATGCCGATTTGATGAGGAAGAAATAAGTGAGTATATAAATAAAATGTTAAATATAAATGTCATGTTTAAGCGAGTGTAAGTTAAGTAGGAATGAGTGATGTAAAATATTGAAATATAATATAAACTAATATTGAACTTATTATTGCAGAGACTGAGTCAGATATACAACATTGTCAAACAAAATCAACATCGATATCACCTAACCGATTTAAAGTGGACAAAGCAACAGCTGTTTCGCCTAATTTTCATTTTAACTCACCACGCAAAACTACGTTGCGGGAGATGTTGAAAGAGCAGGCACAACAACATTCGAAGACAGTATCAGCATTAAAGCAAAAAGTTCAGCGACAAGAGAAAAAAATTGCTTCAATAGTAGAGATACTACATACTTTGCAAGAAAAGTATTTGGATGAACATCAAGTGGATATCTTGAAAGATATCAGTTCTTCTAATGCCCATTTCTTAAAACGAGCCATTAAAAAAGGTAAGAAAGAGACAGTTCCGCAAATTTATTCACCTGAATTGAGATTGTTTGCATTGACATTGCATTATTACTCACCTAAGGCTTATAATTATGTTCGTAACTATTTTAATTCTTGCCTACCTCATGTAAAAACACTTTCTCGATGGTACCAATGTATCGATGGCAATCCTGGTTTTTGTTTTGAAGCTTTTGAAAGTATAAGGGAACGTGCTAAAAATACTCCTTACGCTTTAATAGGCACATTAATGTTTGATGAAATGTCTATTAGACAGCATATTGAGTATGATGGGAAACAGTTTTGCGGTTATACTGATATGGGTACAAATATTGAAAGTGATAAAGAATGCCTAGCGAAAGACGCTTTGGTTTTTTTATTTGTTTGCATGAATGGTGCATGGAAAATACCTATTGGGTACTTTTTTATAAATGGTATAGCCGAGAGCACAAGCTTTTACATAAAGCATAACGCATAAGCATAAGGAAATTGATTGGTCTATATATAAGCATAAGCAAATGCATAAGGAAATGGACCAATCAATTTCCTTATGCTTATGCGTTATGCTTTATGCAAAAGTCTGTGCTCCGGCCATTACAAGCCTTAACAATGTTGCATGAAGCTTCTATAAAAGTAAAATGCTTAACATTTGATGGAGCACCTATTAATATTGCTATGGCTAAATTGTTACAGAAGAATCTACTAAATTTTGATATGTTACAGACATGGTTTTCTCATCCCGTGACCAAAGAGAAAGTGTTTATCTTTCTTGATCCTTGTCATGCAATAAAATTAATTCGTAACGCTTTTAGCGATATGAAATGGTTTTTAAATGAACGCGGGGAACACATTTCGTGGAAATTCATTCAGCTATTACACGAATTTCAAGAAAAGGAAGGATTACATTTAGGTAATAAACTTAGACAAACGCACATCAATTATCATTTACAAAAAATGAAAGTACGATTTGCTGCTCAGGTTTTCAGTAAATCTGTAGCTGATGCATTGAAAGTATGCGAAAAAGACCTACAATTACATGAATTTCAAAATTCTGCGGCAACTTCGGAATTTATAAATATTTTCAACGATCTCTTTGATATATTCAATTCAAAAAATCTTAGATCAGTCGGATTCAAAAAAGCAATTAATTTAGAAAACAGTACAGCTATTATACAAAATTAAATGAATGTAAAGCGTACATTTTTGGTTTAAGAACCACGGATGAAAAATTGGTAGTTCAGAGTAGGCGTAAAATGGGCTTTTTAGGATTTATATTATGCATTGAAAGTTTAAAAGGTTTATTTCAGGATGTGTGCAGAGATAGTACCGAATTTAAATACATTCCGACTTATAAAATATCTCAGGACCATATCGAATTGTATTGTTTGGAAACAAAAAAGGTGTATAGGCGGCGCCCGCTGCAGCGGCGCGGACTTCCGTGAGGCCGGAAGTCTAAAAGACAATTGGTAACGGGAAGTGGCGTGGGAGCCTGCTTTCGCGCTCTTCGTGTATCGAGTGGTTTTTGGATGATTATTTAGCTTTAGTATATAGATCTTTACAGTGCATTGATAGTATCACGATTATTGCGTCGTGAAATAGTTTGATTCGGTATCTCTAAGAGATTTACGGGCAAAGGGTCCGTATCACAATCGTTGTTGTGCGCTCTGTGGTAATAGGCCTGTAAGGCGTGGGAATCCATTCCATCGGACACCAGTCCCACCCTCATCTCGTTGTCATTCTTACTGACAACGAGACCGTTTGATGGAATCAGAGGCACAGCGATATCATTTCGATATCGTAACAGCCAAAGTGGCCTTGTATCACGCAATCTTCATTGCATGCTTGTTCGGGCATTACAGATCAGTGTAAACGTGATGCTAAAATTCTGCGGCCATATTGGATCGGCCCTCGTGACACTTACGGTTTATTGCTAAGATCTTGCTAGTAAGACTTGCATTGCCAAAGGGGTAAGCTGCACTATTTGTATTAATTGCATTGCCAAAGGGGTAAGCTGCACTATTTGTATTGATTGCATTGCCAAATTGGCAAGTTGCACTAATTATAAAATTGCATAGTCACGGCGTCAAGCCGTATCATTCGTATAATTTTGAATGTTTAGGTGACCTTGCACCTCTCGTATTATCTGGTATTGTCTAAATGACAATTGCATTAGTTCATTGCCAAGGTGGCATATTTGATAATATAGTTGTTTTCTTATTTAACGGGTTTAACAGTTATAATTTGAACACGCTCTGTGCGGCTTTCTTTACTTCTCTTTATTTTCAGGAATCACCATATAGCCGTAATAGCATCCTTATTTTCAGTTCTACATATTGATATACGCAAAAAGAGTTCATGCTTATTATTCAGTTGCTGAGTCTCTATACCGTCAAGGAAATATCAAAAATTGTCTCTTAATTAATTCTAAGATACCATATCAATTCTTCCAGTTTGGTGAGTGAATTTGATTTGATTACATTATGCAATACACACTAATGTGAATATTTCATTTATGCGCTTTTGTTGATCGTGCGTTGATTATATTGTATTTTATATGTACTTGCATTTATATGATTTAACGTATTCTATTATGTTAATATATATGTTGTGTCTTAAGAATATTACTTAGTCAACTCAATGAGTGAATAAATTGTTACAGTCTTTTCTTTGAGATATGTATAAATGAGTTTCCCTTCAAGATTATTCGTTGTTTCTGTATTTTGAAATTATATTTAACAAAGATTTTATACATTTTTTGGTCCTTCGAGCCGGATACGGAACACAGATATAAAGATGAGGCTCTCTCATATCGAACGTCGCTTAGAATATCAGGTTGAGTTGACAAAGTTTATATTCAATGCTTATGATGAATTGATTGAACATGGTTTAACACATATTTCCTATCACGAAATACAATTGAGACTTAATGTACTCGATAAGGACTGGCATAGGTTTACGGTCACACATGATGCTATCAATATAGCAATAGCGCAATTGGATAAAGAGGAAAGAGGTCAGATTAAGGAACATATTTACTTCACTGAAGATCTCTTCGCTACTACACTTAAAAATTATACAGTCAACAGTGGAAGAATACAATCCTTATTGGATTCTGAACAAGGAATTGGGAACGGAAGTACATCTACTCAATCGTCAAACCCGACGTCATCAAGCATTCCGACCTTTTCATATCCAGCAAGGTTACCTCGGATAGATCTTCCGAAGTTTAATGGTACGCCTTCTGACTGGCTATCATTTAAGGACTTGTTTAAATCCTTGGTCCTGAATCAATCAACGCTGACGGCTGTTGAAAAACTACAGTATCTAAAAACAAGCTTAGTTGGTTCTGCTGCTCATCACCTCAAAAACACAACGCTCAGTGGTGACAATTTTGAAGGAGCTTGGACAACTCTGAGTTCATTCTATGAGAACAAACGCTTGCTAGTGAATGCAGCGCTACATTCGCTCCTGAACCTGAAACGAATATCTAAGGAATCGGCACGCGAGTTGGAGCAATTATATACAAACTTACTACAAATATATCGTTCCTTGGAAGCCTTAGACCGACCGGTTTCACAGTGGGATGATTTCTTGGTATTTGTGGCAACACAACGACTTCATTCTGAATCAGTCAAAGCATGGGAGCTCTTTCTGGGAAGCTCGACGGATCCACCTACATGGACTCAATTCATTGGGTTCCTTATAACTCGATTGCGGACACTTCAAGCTTATGAAAGATCAAGGATTGGAAAATCGGATCCTCATTTCAACGCTGTCAAGGCTCACTTTCAGGGAAAGTCTAAAGAGGATAAGATCCATAGTGATAACAATTGTGCCATTTGCAATGGTAATCACTACACCGCTTTGTGCAAGCAATACTCTACTAAGACACGTACACAAAAGCTCTCGATAATTGCCAAACACAAACTGTGTTACAACTGTTTAGGATCTCATCGGGTTTTAAATTGTCCTACTACAAGAAGGTGTAAGAAGTGTGGGAAAAGGCATCACACTTCAATACACACGGATATAGCTCAAGTTGCCACAAGCAAGGTAGACGGAGAAAAGGCTACCAAGTCCTTAGACAACTCTATGGCTAAACCAACTGAGGCTCAAGTGCTATATTCAAATGCCCATCATAGCACATTCCAAGTTCAAACGCTTTTAGCAACGGCTCAAGTTCAAGTTAGTAGCCTTGAAGGAAATACTACAAAGGCAAGACTGCTCCTAGACCAAGGCTCTGAAATCTCATTAATAACAGAAAGACTGGCTCAACGACTCAGACTGTCACGTCAACGTTCTTCAGTACCTTTGGTTGGAATTGGTGCTCAACCCTCTAACACAACTAAAGGAATTGTTCGTTTCAAAATAAAGCCACATTTTGATTCAAGATTTGAGGCGGTTATCTCAGCACACGTTCTGCCTAGTCTTACTACAACAATACCTGCAAGGGAAATTTGTCAAAATTCATGGCTTCATCTGAAAGGGCTACAGCTAGCAGACCCTCTGTTCTCAACGCCAGGTCCAATAGATCTCCTGTTGGGGGCTGATGTATACGGACAGATTTTAAATGAGGGAGTCGTCAAAGGTCAAGTGAACTCACCTATTGCTCAATCCACAACGTTAGGCTGGATTATCTCAGGTCCAACAGGCAAAGAGGTTTCTCATCGACGATTGCAGAGTTATCATATCTCATGTGATAAGGAACTCTGTCTTCTTATGCAAAGATTTTGGGAACTAGAATCGGTTCCAACAGCACATCGCTCGTCCTTGACACCAGAGGAACAGGAGTGTGAAAAACACTTCCAAGACACACATTCAAGGGACTCACGAGGGAGATATGTTGTTAAACTGCCCTTCAAGAAATCAGTTGAGAGATTAGGCGACTCAAGACACAAGGCAGCCCTTCTCCACAACAAATTGATACGACGTTGTGCAAAAGATCAAAAGTATGCACAGACTTATACGGAGTTCATGTCTGAGTATCAAAGATTGGGACATATGAGACAGGTGCCTGATTCATTAGCAGAACCTTCATATGCCTATTACCTTCCTCATCACGGTATCTGGAAAGAGAATAGTCTTACAACTAAGTTGAGAGTTGTCTTTAATGGATCGAGTCCAACCACCTCAGGTTATTCTTTGAATGATCTTCTCCATTTAGGAGCCAAGTTACAAGTGGATTTATTCAATGTACTGCTTTGGTTTAGACAGTTTCGTTACGTCTTTTCTGCTGACATCGAAAAGATGTTCAGACAAATAAAGGTGCATCCTAATCACTGGAGGCATCAACGCATCTTCTGGAATAATCAGAATCAAGAAATTGTTCCTTATGAACTTACAACGGTTACATACGGTCTGGTGTGTGCGCCTTTTCAGGCCCTACGAGTCATTCAACAACTCACTGAAGATGAAGGACATAGATTTCCTCAAGCTGTCTCTACAATGACACAAGGTCGTTATGTAGACGACATTTTCGGAGGTGCTGATACAATAACAGAAGCTCAAGAACGTGTTATTCAGGTAAACCGTCTCTGCATGGCGGGCGGTTTTCCGCTGCAAAAGTGGGTTAGTAATGACGCTAACATTTTGAGCTTTATTCCACCGGAGAATTGTCTTAGTTCACGCAATGTTAAGATCAGCGACGATCTTGTGATACACTCCCTCGGTTTACTGTGGAATCCAAATAAGGATGTCTTTGATTTCCAACTGGGTCCAGTTGCAACGGAAATCATCACTAAAAGGATTATGCTTTCTACTATAGCAAAGATATTCGATCCACTCGGCTTTCTGTCACCTGTTACAGTAGCAGCAAAAATATTAATCCAAGAACTATGGACGATGAAGATCGAGTGGGATCAACCATTACCTCCCCGAGTAGGCAATAAATGGACCAAGTTCGTCAATAGCTGTCAAGATATGAATAAACTCAAGTTTCCAAGATGGATTGGTACTACCTCTGCATTCTCTCTGGAAATTCACGGATTTTGCGACGCGTCCTCCGACGCCATAGCTGCAGTTGTCTATAGCCGAAGTATTTCTACTGAAGGACAAGTTGTCATTCAGTTTGTATGTTCAAAAACGAAGGTTGCTCCTCTGAAAAGACAAACTATACCTCGTTTAGAACTTTCAGGAGCGGTTCTCCTAGTGAAATTGATGTGTCAAGTATTACGTATCCTTGGTAGGATAGACACAAAGGTTTATTTATGGACAGACTCCGCTATTACTCTCACTTGGGTCACAAGTCATCCATCAAGATGGAAGGAATTCGTACAAAATAGGGTGTACTTCATTCAAGATACACTACCTTCTGCCAAGTGGAACCTTGTTCCTGGTACAGAAAATCCTGCTGACCTCGCCACACGTGGGATTACTCCCATTCAACTCGCCGAAATGAGAACTTGGTGGCATGGCCCGACATGGCTTTTGCAATCACCACATCATTGGCCTTCTGCTTCACAACAAGAGCTCACAGGAGATCAACTAGAAGAGCGACCTCTCAAGGTCCATAGTACCCAGGCAAATTCATCACAACCTTGGGAGCTACTTGATCGATATTCAAGCCTCAACAGATTGTTACGTATTACTGTCACGTGTCAAAGAGCGTTATCGAAGTTTAAACGAATTCCCGACCCGATCGGTTCAATTTCTATTACTCCAACAGAGTTAAATCTGGCGAAACAATTCTGGATCAAAGAAGTTCAACGCTCTGCATTTCAACGTGAATTGTATCTTTTATCAGAAAACCAAGTATTGCCTAAATCCAACTCACTTATACGGCTTACACCATTCATAGATGCAATGGGCATCCTACGAGTGGGCGGACGCCTTCGATCATCGAGGTTATCCTACGCTACTAAGCATCCTGCAATATTGCCGAAGGATTCAAGCTTCTCTTCACTGGTAGTAAATGAAGCTCATCTTAGATCGCTTCATGGAGGAACTCAAATTACAACCTCCTTCATTAGAGAAGAATTCTGGATCATTGGTGGTCGAGCTTCGGTGCGACGTCACATTATCAAGTGCGTCAAGTGTGCTAGGTTCAGACAACAAAGAGCACAACAACTGATGGGACAATTGCCTCCTGAAAGAGTCACGCCTTCACGGCCGTTCTTGCATTCTGGGGTAGACTATGCAGGTCCCCTTATTATCAAGACTTGGAAAGGAAAGAATGCACGCACTTACAAAGCGTATGTTGCTCTTTTTGTATGCTTTGCTACCTCTGCGGTACATCTAGAATTGGTCACCGATTACTCTACCGATGGTTTCATAGCAGCATACAAAAGGTTTACAGGTAGAAGAGGAGTCTGCGCTACCCTTACTAGTGATTGCGGTACAAACCTCAAGGGAGCAGACGCAGAGCTTCAACGGCTCTTTAACGCCGCAACCAAGGAGGCTCAACATTTGGCAACCTTACTGGCGAAAGACGGTACTCATTGGAAGTTTAATCCTCCATCCGCTCCTCACTTTGGAGGTAAATGGGAGGCGGGAGTCAAATCCATGAAATTTCATTTTAAAAGGATCATTGGAGACACGTTGCTCACATACGAAGAACTGAACACGCTTCTAATACAGATCGAAGCAGTTCTTAATTCAAGGCCGTTATGTCCTCTAACGGACGATCCTGACGATCTCACAGTTTTGACACCTGGTCATTTTCTGTTGGGCTGCACTCCAACCGTTCTACCTGAACCTTCTCTAAATAATGAAAACACATCACGCCTATCTCGATGGCAACTGTTAAGAAAGATGCTGGACTCCTTTTGGACACGATGGTCATCAGAGTATCTTCAGCGTTATCAATCTATCTATAAGTGGAATCAGTCAAGCCCATCGATAGCTGAAGGCAACATGGTGCTGGTGATAGATGAGCGTTTTCCACCAGCGAAGTGGCCATTGGGACGAGTTATACAAGTTCATCCTGGTGCGGACGGTCTCGTACGAGTTGTCACGGTCAAAACTCAAACATCTGAGTTAAAAAGACCAATTGCAAAACTTTGTATTCTTTCAATCGACTCTCATAACACTCATTAGTTCGTTAGCGGTTGTTAACGAAGGCGGGCGGAATGTTTGGAAACAAAAAAAGGTGTATAGGCGGCGCCCGCTGCAGCGGCGCGAGCGAGAGCGGCGCGGACTTCCGTGAGGCCGGAAGTCTAAAAAAGACAATTGGTAACGGGAAGTGGCGTGGGAGCCTGCTTTTCGCGCTCGTGTATCGAGTGGTTTTTGGATGATTATTTAGCTTTAGTATATAGATCTTTACAGTGCATTGATAGTATCACGATTATTGCGTCGTGAAATAGTTTGATTCGGTATCTCTAAGAGATTTACGGGCAAAGGGTCCGTATCACAATCGTTGTTGTGCGCTCTGTGGTAATAGGCCTGTAAGGCGTGGGAATCCATTCCATCGGACACCAGTCCCACCCTCATCTCGTTGTCATTCTTACTGACAACGAGACCGTTTGATGGAATCAGAGGCACAGCGATATCATTTCGATATCGTAACAGCCAAAGTGGCCTTGTATCACGCAATCTTCATTGCATGCTTGTTCGGGCATTACAGATCAGTGTAAACGTGATGCTAAAATTCTGCGGCCATATTGGATCGGCCCTCGTGACACTTACGGTTTATTGCTAAGATCTTGCTAGTAAGACTTGCATTGCCAAAGGGGTAAGCTGCACTATTTGTATTAATTGCATTGCCAAAGGGATAAGCTGCACTATTTGTATTGATTGCATTGCCAAATTGGCAAGTTGCACTAATTATAAAATTGCATAGTCACGGCGTCAAGCCGTATCATTCGTATAATTTTGAATTGTTTAGGTGACCTTGCACCTCTCGTATTATCTGGTATTGTCTAAATGACAATTGCATTAGTTCATTGCCAAGGTGGCATATTTGATAATATAGTTGTTTTCTTATTTAACGGGTTTAACAGTTATAATTTGAACACGCTCTGTGCGGCTTTCTTTACTTCTCTTTATTTTCAGGAATCACCATATAGCCGTAATAGCATCCTTATTTTCAGTTCTACATATTGATATACGCAAAAAGAGTTCATGCTTATTATTCAGTTGCTGAGTCTCTATACCGTCAAGGAAATATCAAAAATTGTCTCTTAATTAATTCTAAGATACCATATCAATTCTTCCAGTTTGGTGAGTGAATTTGATTTGATTACATTATGCAATACACACTAATGTGAATATTTCATTTATGCGCTTTTGTTGATCGTGCGTTGATTATATTGTATTTTATATGTACTTGCATTTATATGATTTAACGTATTCTATTATGTTAATATATATGTTGTGTCTTAAGAATATTACTTAGTCAACTCAATGAGTGAATAAATTGTTACAGTCTTTTCTTTGAGATATGTATAAATGAGTTTCCCTTCAAGATTATTCGTTGTTTCTGTATTTTGAAATTATATTTAACAAAGATTTTATACATGTATTTTGGATGCATTCGTTTATGTGGAGGGAGCAATAACAACCCTACCGCTAGACAATTTAAGAGCGCTTTCAAAAAACTTTAATTCATTCCGAATTGAGATCAAGTAATGGAAATTGCATCGAATTAGAAACAATCTCTATTCTACATGTAACAGTCAAAAAAAGCCCATCGCAAATCATTAATTGTTCAACTCCGACAGTAAATGCTGAATTATACAACCAACAAATCGACTATAATTAACGATCACAGCTATTATCCAGACATTAGAGTAGTTTCCGAATTTTCTGAGCAAATCATTGCGTACATTGCAGGATTTGTCATTAGAAAATTGAAGGCATCAATTTATTGTGAAATATGTATTGCAGCATTATACGGAGATCATGATTGTTTGTCGGAACGGTTTAATTAAGCAAAAACTACGTGGTGTATTAATATATCCATCCCAAGATACATTTAAGATTTGTCGATTGGCTGAAAATGTTATTAAACAAGCATTATATGAATCAGGAGGTAAATTTATGTTAAAACGTTTTAATGGGGATTAGCTTTTGACTGCTGTACTATTTCATATCAAAGATAATCGTACTATTTTTGATAATTTAGTACATCATTCAAATGATCAATCTCCATTTGAAAATCACAGGATACAGCTGTGCAAAGCGGTGGCCCAAAAATATATAAAAATAAGATTATTTTATGTAGGATTAAAGTCAAATGATTCAGCGAAAAGCGAAAGACACAAATTAAATAAACTTGTTCTTTTCAAAGGCATGTAAAAAATGTATTTTAAATATGACAAATTATAATAAATATCTTATAAAAAATTCATATGTATTTATTTATTGTTATTATTTTTTCGAATACTAATATTATTTCCTAAATTTCTATTTCCCTTATACAATTTCAATATTAAGAAGTATCTATCAACGTACATACACGATACAAATAAAACTGTTCAATTATATAGGCCATCGCACATAAAATGACAACTGCATATGCATAGCATAACACCGTCTTGACCAATGAGCATTCAAGTGAGTGATCTATGACGCCTTTATACTAGATGCTATACTAGATGCTTGGTTGAAACGATTTTATGCTATGCATATGCAGTTATGTCATTTTGTGTGCGATGTCCTTATCAATTTGAAGGTTGGCGGGTTTGTAGTTTGCGTGCACAGTAGGAGGCGCTGAACTTATACTCCCCTCTTCCGTTTCCCGCAACACCAAATCGGCCTACAAACTGGCCTGGTGCTCTGTCCCTATATTCCTAAGTCCGTGATTACATCTGTTTAACATTGCTTCAATGGGAAAAGGGGGGGAACACTAGCAGTCCATGTTTCTATAGTCAAAGGTACAACCTAATGCTCTCTCCTTTACCTCCATGGTGTTAGTTGTGCGTGTGTGTGTGTGTGTGTTTGTGTTATGTGCTACGAAACCCGGCTAAAAAAAATGGGTTAAAGGCACTCTGAAGGATAAAAAAGTGTATGTATTATACATAAATTTTGCAACATTTGTGCAAACATTTATATTATTTAGTTACATACATTCATATTCTAATTTCTGTAAAATACTTTTATTCATGTGCTTCATGTGTTTATATTATGTATATTATGTGCTCAATATTATGTATATTCACATCAAAGTATCTATGTAAAAAGTTAATATCATTTTGTATATTGTATATATTTTTATAATAAATGTATATGTCATATAACTTATTTATAAAGCATGAAATATAAAGGTATTTTTAGTTTTTTGTATGTATCACTTGTAAAAAAATCTTGATAAAATAAATATTAATTTTGTGACTTGCAATAATCTGTTTCAATATATACTTCTTTTAAATACTTACAATTAGCCTTATTTTATGCGTTTACCTTGATATCTAAAATACACATCAAAATATAAAATTAATTTCTAATTTAGTAGAAAGAAAACATTGTAGTTTTACACCAGAGAGGAATGGTAAAATATCATGTATATGTAACAACAAATAAATCACTTTTCCACTGACATTATACACAACTTTGCAGAAATAAATTTATTCTGTGAATTTTGAATGTGTAGTGCAGTTTAAAACACACAGTCGAAATATGTCTATATTTTTGAAATAATAGTTCTGATTTTTCATGAATCACAGTGGTTTTATAAAATGTTCAATTTTAACAGTTTTTATTGGACTGTACTTTAGACAATATTATATTTTGCCATTTCTCTCTGTTGTAAGACAAGAATGTTTCGTTTCTACTGTAATAGAAATACATTTTCGATTTTGATACGTATTTTAAATACCAAGTTAATCACATAAAATAAGGCCAATTGTAAATATTTAAAAAAAGCATATAATAAAACAGATTATTGCATGTCGCAAAATTAATGTTGTTTCTTTTATCAAGATTTTTTTACAAATGATAGACATAAAAAAATAAAAATATCTTTATATTTCATGCTTCAGAAATAAAAAATATGGCATATATCATATACATTTATTGTAAAAAAAGTATACAAAATGATGTCAATTTCTTAAAAAGATATTTTGATATGAATATAGATAATATGGAGCATATAATATACATTATATATATACATAGAGCATATGACGTAATAAAAGTATCTTACAATAAAGAATAAGACAAGCCAGAGGCGGTTTTCTCGTGGACTGGCATTAGAAAATTCTTATTCTTGTCTTCAAGCCAGAGGCGGTTTCGTCGTGGACTGGCAATATAGAATAAGACAAGCCAGAGGCAGTTTTCTCGTGGACTGGCATTAGAAAATTCTTATTCTTGTCTTCAAGCCAGAGGCAGTTTCCTCGTGGACTGGCAATATAGAATAAGACAAGCCAGAGGCGATCTAACGTCAGCTGACAATTTTTAATAAATATAGTCAGAGGCGATCTAACGTCAGCTGACAGTTTCGAAAAAAGAGAGCTAAAGACGATTTATTCGTGAACTGGCAAATTGTAAGAAATATTGTCAGAGGCGATCTATCGTGAGTTGACAATTTTAAATAAATATAGTCAGAGGCGATCTAACGTCAGCTGACAGTTTAGAAGAAAGAGAGCTAAAGGCGATTTATTTGTGAACTGGCAAATTGTAAGAAATATTGTCAGAGGCGATCTATTGTGAGCTGACAATTTTAAATAAATATAGTCAGAGGCGATCTAACGTTAGCTGACAGTTTACAAGAAAGAGAGCTAAAGGCGATTTATTCGTGAACTGGCAAATTGTAAGAAATATTGTCAGAGGCGATCTATTGTGATCTGACAATTTTAAATAAATATAGTCAGAGGCGATCTAACGTCAGCTCGACACGTTAGTAAGAAAGTGAGCCAAAGACGATTTATTCGTGAACTGGCAGATTTTAAGAAATATTGTCATAGGCGATCTAACGTCAGCTGACAGATTTGAAGAAATACGTATTTATTTTAGTTAACAATTTACTGCACGTGTGGTCTGTTTATATTTTATCAGATAATTTATAAGGTTATTTAACCTTTTTTCTCGCAATTGAAATTCTATCGTATGGCTGAATGATGTACATACGAGACAAAATAGACTTATACAAGGTGTCTAAT